TGCACTCCAATCTGGGCAACATAACAAGACTCTGTCTCAAAAACAACAAAAAACAAAAAATACCTCTATGTAGTGGTTAGAAAACTGAAGTGGAAGTGAGGTCAGAAATTCAGGCTTATCTTTATCTAAAAACAAGCTAAGGGGTCTTCTTTCCTTGCTGCTCTTTCACAAAAGATAATTTAATATAAATGCAAAGACAAAGTAACAGCAATGTTAATCATGCTTATGTTAATGAACACCACCACCACCACCACCACAGTAAGAAATGCTTGCAGAAGCTTAAGAGTAGATGCAAACACAAATAACTCACAATCTTCAAACACTATTCTGACCTTGATTTCACCCTGTATCAAATTGCCTATCTTAGAATGCTGGAATGGTTTAGTTAACCTAAGGTCAACTGCAGAACAGGGAAGAGGCCAAATGGTAGATGATCCTGTTGAAAGGAGAGATCTTGGCAATAAAATCAATTTAGCATAAATGAAGGTGATTCATAATACAAGCAGTAGCAGTAGATTGCTTTTTTTTTTTTCTTTTCTGGGTCAGTTTTGGTTGGTCTTTCAAATTAGGTCTTTGAGACTAAAAATGAACATAAAATGAGTAGCTCTGCACAGCAAGGTAATATTGGTCCATTTAGTCTAAAGCAACCCAATCATCCAATATCCCCACATGTTGATAAACACCATTGTATCTATGTTTACAGTAACATATCTAGATCCAGATTTGATTGTATGCTGGGGCTTATGATTCAAAATTTATCTTTGACTTTAGTACAATTTACTTCAAAATCAGTAAAAATATCACATAAAATCATTAATTTCTGTTAATGAAAGCTCCATTTTAGTAAAACATTTGATTTGTTCAATAGATGTAACTATGTTCAGAATTATGCCTCCTCCCTCCAAAAAAGTCCCAAAACTAATGTTTATTGTAAATATATTTAGGATTAATTATGATCTATTCAAAGCAAATGGTGACAAACAGCTTATTTGCTATTTACATAATATATAAAATAAATTTTGTTTGAAAAGAATGAAAATAAACTTTACTCTCGTTCTTTGAGTATTTTCTTGTATAAGCTGAAATTTAAAGAATGCTCCTTCTTAAACAATGCATAATCATTGGAAGGGGAATTTTATAATAGCATTTTCTAAAATGGTAACACAAAGTGATACATTTCCCTTCTCTTTCTCATCACCACCCAGTCCTTAGTACATAAGATCACTACCTACTCCTGTTTGTCCCTTACAAATCTTCGTCACATTCAGAACTGATTTATCTTTAAATCATCTCTTGTAGGTGTTTTTTCCCTTCTCCCTATTCTACTTAAGGAAAATGTCCCTCCTACAATTCGCAGGCATAATGAATATCCTCAAGACAACATTAAAATAATTGCTTTCACGAAACTGTTTTGTGCTTTTTATCTGGGATACCTAAGAACCATCCATGAACAAAATAATGTGGCTATCAAAGGTTACTTACAAGTAGCATTTTAATACCTTCTCTTTCATTCTCCAGGTTACTCTGTTGAGAAAGTTATCCTATTTAATATTTAATAGCCAGTGACTTCAAACCCAACTTCATATTGAATGACATTCTCTCGTTTATGAACACAACATAAAACACACATACATGGCCACTACTCACCCACTCTCACAAGCAAGCATACACACACATTTTCTTTCTTTCCAGAACAAGCCAGAATTACAGCTCTTTTGGTGATTGTTATAATTTTTGGAATGGTTCATAAATTTTCCAAATTCTTTTAAATTTGTATTACTTTCATCTTTTTTCTTTTTTTTTTCCAATTGTGAACCATTCCATATTGCATCTTTATTGCAAAAGTCAACATGCTTCTTAGAAATTCAGATTGTAATTGATAAAACAAACATTACATATATGAATTTAAATGTATAAACAGTTAGAAATTCAACAATATCTCCTATTATACTATTACACAAGATCACAATTTTGTAAAAACTATAATACAGGCATACTATACATCAAGAGGAACCACTATTCCTTTTCACATGATTTTTTTCTTTTTTGAAAAAAATGACTCATCACCAAGGACCCTTTTCACCTTAACAGGACTGCTTTCCAATTTATCATCTTAGCTGGTAACAATATTTCTTCAATGTTATACAATGAAATTGAGGGAAATTTTGCAATACTTGGGGTTACCTTTTTATCTTGGACAGTAATTCAGTAGTATATCAGGCTGACCTAATCAACTGGTGGCTATTATTGATACATATAAATGATGTCATACACATTAAGAGGAACAGAATTTGCCTTAGATGCTGTATGTTATTTCTGTAAATAAAGATGCCAAGAAAACATGTATGGCAGTTATTCACTTTTAAGTGAAATTCTAACAGCTGAAGATTCGATGGTGGAAGTAAAATATCCCAAAGGGGGCGGGGGATATATATAAACTATTTTACGCTAACCTTAAGTGTTCCAATATTATAATTAACTCACTTTAAATTCATCTTTGAGTCAAACATGTTTTAAAATTCTTTGAAAGCATACTTTTAAAGTATTTTTAGTCCTGTTTAAGGTGTACTGAAAACTTTTATAGAAAGGGCCTCAAATCTTACTGAAAAAACTGTTTTTCACTTTAACACATCTCTTTTTTATCCTCTGCCCCCAATACTAAAAAGTCAAATTTTCAACTTTTTACTGATAAGATGTTCATTTTGAGGTCAAAAAAATCATATGAAAAGGAATCTCATTCTGTTGAACTGTCAATCTACTGAAATTTTTCTTACAGTTCCATTTATTTACTGTAATTTTCAGTTTCCAAATACAAAAATACAACAATTCTTATTGAAATCTATACGCTGGTAGTTTTAGTACACAAAAAGAAAAAAAAAAAAAAAAACACCCAAACAAATTATTTACAAAATTATACAGTTTAAGAAAAAACTTTGTACAAAAAATATATAAATCCTTTGTTCCCTCTATCACGATTAAACTGTCAGGACTCAAAATATTCACCACAATGAATCTTTCAAAATATATACCGACTGAGCCACAGACATCAAGAAAAATTTCATTAGAGATGATGGAGGAGTAAGGAGCAAGATTGTGTACTCTAGGTACACCATTCTAATGTTTTCCTTCTTTTATAAGCTTATTTTACCTTCAGTGTTACTAGAAATATAACAATAACCTAGAAAGAGGAAGTCCTTATTATTATGAAAGAAAATTATATGAACTTAAAAAGGACCCTGGTTTGACACATCAGTCCAGGAAAACACGTAGAAGAATAAAGATTATCAGAACATGGGATTTAACTTCTTATAGCTAAGTAAATCTAGAATCCTGATGGTTTTAAGTTCTTGAGTGAATAGTTTCTATTTTGAGAAATAGTCTTTACCTCAGCAAACAAAATCTTTGACATAGTGGTCACCAAGAACCTTTTGGAGCCAACAGGAGGTTTCAATTTTTCATACCACACATATATAAAAACAAAGATGTGTATATCCTTGAAAAAGTGATGGCCTATGTACATTAATCATTTTATTTTCCCAGGGGTCAGTACAGTGTAGTGTTGCTCCTCTGCTTTTCCATCTAACATTCAGAACACGAGGACATAAATTTACATATATATTTTACTTAACAGATACTCTACTCTATACAGTGTACAGTAAAAATGCACACAGGAACTCTACTGAGGGATGCATATGTTCATGGATAGCAACAAACTACAAAATTATGAAAAAATAAGGTCATCTGATCAAAGTCATATATGACTCCCATTTATTACTAGCATACTCAGCCCTCAACCCCCTCCCACCCACCTCCCACCCCCAGTCACCTCACTATCATGGTTTAAATTTAGGAAAAGAATTTCAGACATTTTAAAACCCTTCTGTGTAACTATAACTGAACTGAAGCTTCAAAAGAGGGAGAAAAAAAAAAAAGCTGGTGATCCTCTTCTCCCCAAAATCCTTTCATCATTCTCATCAAAACATCACTTATTTATCCAGGTACTGGTTTGAACTTTTATTGGAGACTGCCTGCGGTTGCCCAAATGAACCACTTATATCAATGATGACGTAAGTCAGGCCTATTAATAGAAAGGCAAGAGGAAGAAAAGGGGGATGAGAAAGGGGCAATAGGTGAAAGCCTTTTACATTCTGAGTTATAAAAATTTTTAAAAAGACCAGCCGAACCAGCGCTCACTAAATATCAAAGCAAACTAAGAATCAGTAGCTGGAAAAGTCCAGGAGTTCATATGACAAGAGAATGGAAATACTATAGAGCTAGCTACCACTGCTGTAGCATTTAAGAACACACAGTTTGTTGTGATTTTCACTGAAATAGTACTACCACACATAAAAACCATGAAAAACAAATTTAGACTGAATACAAATTGGGCTCCTCCAAAGTAAAAAAAAAAAAAATTAAAATAAACATATTTTTCTTCCAAGACCACTCTTGAAAGCAAAAGGGTATTTTAATTACAAATATTTCCTACTGTCTGATGACCCATCCATAATAACTGAGAGTTAAAAGATTACAGGTGATTTTGACATTTAATTAAACTTTATCAGTAGATTATAATCCAAAATAAAATTTCTGAACACCCTGTCATTTACATCATAATCCAACACCAATAGCAACAAAAAAAAGGTGGTGTGGAAAATAAGGCTCTAGAGATTATCCATGTCATTGCTGTGGATCTTCACAACTGTGTAAAAGTCACTAGGCCTTTGGTGCTTTAATATCATGTACAGTTATGAGATGTGTTTAAATAGCAAACTTGCTGTTCTTGAACCTACTGTGTTGAAAAGAAAAATAAAAAAAATTTTTTTGGCTCATTGACTTCTTTTAAATAATTTTTAAAAGTTGTTCTTCTAAACAATATTCCTAAAAATTATACAGCTAGCATCAGATTTCATCTTCGCCATGAGCGAGACTCATATTCATCTTCATCTTCATCGTCATCATCAGGCAAAAACAAATCTGAGGTTTCTGTTTCCTGAAGAAAGAGAGGTTAAAATCTGTTTAGTGGCACAAGAATGGTAAGTAAAATGCTTTTTACGCCAAAGGACAAACAGAGTAGTATATAAAGTCCAGGCTAGATTTCATAAGGGATGCATGCAGGAGTATCTTTCAGGGCAAAAAAAAAAAAAAACAACCCCAAAATATTTTTGTAAATTAATATAAATTCTTCTCCCCTGCTAATTTTGCTACTTTTAATAGCAGATTTCTACTCTAACATCATCAGGAAAATAATGTGGACATTTAGTACAGAAAATTAAAGACTATGAGATACATTTCTGATAAATTAAAATTAATTTTATTCTATTAAAAATTAGGAAAATGGGCCGCCGTGGGCATCTGACAAAACACACCAAGTTCGTGCGGGACATGATTCGGGATGGGTGCGGCTTTGCCCCATACGAGCGGCGTGCCATGGAGTTACTGAAGGTCTCCAAGGAAAAACGGGCCCTCAAACGTATCAAGAAAAGGGTGGGGACACACATCCGCGCCAAGAGGAAGCGGGAGGAGCTGAGCAACGTATTGGCCGCCCTGAGGAAAGCTGCTGCCAAGAAAGACTGAGCCCCTCCCCTGCCCTCTCCCTGAAATAAAGAACAGCTTGACAGAAAAAAAAAAAGAATTAGGAAAATAAATGACCAAACACCTAAATCTTTGTTTTTATATCCATCCAATCGTTTGTGAGAGGTGAATATACTAGCTTCCCCATGACACTGATATTCCAAATCTTACATAAAAATCTAAAATCTTAGACAAAGTAGATGTATCTGCAAACACTACCCAAATATCATGACTTTTTTTTTTCTTTTAATCTGGGGAAATTTCTGCTTTTGCTGTGTAAAATTACCCATATAGTGAGAAGACACTTGATCAAACTATAAATGCTAGGCATCTTTTAAAACCAAGATTGTCATATAAATCAGGAAAACCTCGCAATGTAGCCTAAGTTTTCACTAAATAAACTAATGATAAATAACAGAAGTAAAAAAGCAAAATAAATTCTCATATATTTTAAGAAGTTGATTATTCAGTACTTTTGTTATTGAGGTCTTTAGTTTTCCAATTCTTTCCTCTATGTTCAATTTCTGCACACTCATTTTAACTAATTGTACACAGAAGGAAAATAAGAAACTCAAATGTATTACTATGGAACTTGAATAAAAAAAAGAGAAACCAACCAATTAAAGCTTAATTTGTTTATGTAATCTCTGACTATTCATCAGAATAAAAATTTCTAAAGCCCAAATAAATCCAATATAAATGTAAATAAAAAAGAACAGTCTTTCCTATACCAGAAGAAAATAATCCCCAAGATAGCTTTTTATGTCTCTAGACCTGTTTTAATTCTCTAATAAACATCTAAACTGGTCTTAACCCAGTATTTATTTTTAAATTTATACTATTTAATATCATAAAAAATACACAATTGAAAAGTGATCTAATTCAACTCTTATTTCCAACCATTAAATTTACCTCCTCCTTGACTTCTTCTTCTTCAGTCTCAGTGGATATAGATGGTACCTTGGGCTTGTGCCATGATATCTGTAGCCGACGGTCTTTAAATTTTGGCCCTTGGTTTGCAGCCTAAAATATATATTAGAAGAACATACAAGTTTGCACTCCAATTACTAATGATTTTTGCAAATTCTGTGTTATTTAAAAAGTATAATATAGGGCAGGGGAGAAATCTGTTAAGGTGGCTCTACAATCTCCAATGAGAGCTAAAAAACAAAATAAAGTCCCTTTTAATTAGAGCAACTATATATTCTGGTTTGCCTAGGATAACCCATGGTTTATATCTGTGTTAGGTACATGTTAGCATCTGTCTTGGTTGAAGTAATACTTTTTTTTCTAAGTACAGTTGCTCTACTTACAGAAGTCATGATGAGGACAAGAAATATTCTTAATACATGTATTGACTTTTGGCTTTGATATCTACATACATAGACTCAAACCTTAGAAATAAGTAATTTTTTTAAAGATGAATCATCTGCTTATTCATCTCACTGCATCTCTTACAGCCCCACCTATGTTTGATAAAGTTCTTCCTATTTCCAATTCTGAAATGCTATACATTAATAAGCACCTCCCAGCTCATCTATGCATTCAGTAAACATTAAATACACCTAATAATATCCTAACTCATAAAACTGCTCCGTTTCAAATGTGTTACTTGGTACTAATTTTTAAACATTTTTTTCTCCCCAGCAAATTCCAATAAGGGAAAGCAAATTTTAAAGACAAAGCAACACAGACAAGGAAACAGGGATCCAAAGTTTCAAAAAAGTAAAAGCTTAGCCATCCCTAAAGCTTTCCTATCAAAGGTCCTCATTTATAGAACTGAGGGTTCTGAAAAACATAACAGAAGAGACTCTTTTTTATTTGGGCTTTCATTCTAGTCTATCTAGCAAAAATCATTGTTAAACCTCTTAAAGCATTTGCCAAATGTTTCCATAACACACTTGGAGCATAGCATGGTGTGAATGTACATTAGGGCAGACTCATAAACCCATTACTGCCTGCACAGACTTCATCCTGCGTTCTAAGAGAAAAATTCCCACCATTCCTTGCAGGGTCTAAATGCTTATAAGCTAACACAGAACATTATGACTCATGGGACATACCAAACTGATGTATCAAAATAGCCCTACCAAATATATATATGTACCTTTTCTTTTATTTTTGAGACAGAGTCTTGCTCTGATTCCCAGGCTGGACTGCAGTGGGAAGATCACACTCACTGCAGCCTTGACTCCCTGAGTCCACGTGATCCTCCCACTTCAGCCTCCCAAGTAGCTGAGACCACAGGCATGCATCACCTCACCTGGCTAATTTTTTTAGTTTTATAGACGGGGTCTCCCTATGTTGCCCAGGCGGGTCTCAAACTCTTAGGCTCAAGCAATTCTCCCACCTCAGCCTCCCAAAGTGTTGGGATTACAGGCATGAGCCACAGCACCTGGTCTATATTTACCATCTTTTAAAAATCAGGTAATGTATGTAATAGAGATCCTCTACCCTTCCTCTATCCTTTAACACACAGCCCAATTACAGAGAGGCTTTCCCTGCTTGTTTTGTTCATTTCTATATTATTTGAATTTCTAAATAAAAATATATTACTTTTATAATCAGAAAAAGTAATAAAGATTTTTAAATCTGTAATAACCGTGTTGCTCTCCAAAGAGGATAAGAGCTCTGTCCTCCAAAAGGAATAAGGCATTAAATGTATTGCATACACATTATTAAAGGAAGAACCAGAAATGTATATGCAGTCTGAAATTAAGAAAAATTTCTACTATCTAACTTAACAAATCAAATCAGCAATTAGAATAAAGATATGACGCTACCAAGTTAAGAATTCTCATACACAAATGGTGAGAATCTCAAACTGATTCTAAACTGGTAAGAATCTAAAACTGATGGGGTTCACTCCGCAATTCCACATACAGTCATCACTTGGTGTTTCTGGGGGACTGGTTCCAGGACTCTCTGTGAATACCAAAATCCATGAATGCTCAAGTCATTTACATAAAATAGTGTAGTATTAGCATATAACCTACACACATTCTCCCATATACTTTGAATCCTCTCTAGATTATTTATAATACCTAATACAATGTAAATGCTATGTAAATAGTTGTTATACTATATTGTTTAGGGAATAATGACAAAAAATGTACATGCTCAGTACACATGCAACCATTCATTTTTTCCTAATATTTTTGATCCAAAATTGGTTTAATCCATGGAGGTGAAACCCACACATATGAAGGTCCAACTGTATATCCAAGAGAAATGTGTGTACATGTGTAGTTAAAAACATGTATAAGATAGCAACACTGCTTACAAAAGCCACAAAGTAGAAATAACCCAAATATCCATCAATAAGAGGATGTGGCTGGGCACGGCAGCTGGCACCTGTAACCCTAACACTTTGGGAGGCCGAGGTAGGCGGATCACCTGAGGTCAGGAGTTCAAGACCAGCCTGGCCAACATGGAGAAACCCCATCTGTACTAAAAATACAAAAATTAGCCAGGTGTAGGGGTGCATGCCCATAATCCCAGCTACTTTACTCATGAGGCTGAGGCAGGAGAATCGCTTGAACCCAGGAGGCAGAGGTTGCCGTGAGCCGAGATCGCGCCACTGCGATCCAGCCTGGGCAACAGAGTGAGACTCCATCTCAAAAAAAAAAGAGGATGAAAAATAAACTGTGGTATATTGATGCAACTATTATATAGTAATAAAAATGGCAAATTAATGTTACATGTAAAAACATGAATGAGTCTCACAAACATTAAACAGAAGAAGCCAAGCACAAAAGAATACACACTGTGTGATTCCATTTATATAACATTTTAAAAACAAGCAGAATACTACTGTAATATTTAGGAATGCTCATTTAGGTGATAAAACTACGGTCAATTCTCATTACGTGCAGTAGTTACGTTCTAAAAAGTTGATGCAAACATTTAATTGGCAAATACTGAGCCACTAATCATAGGGGAAATAGAATTAGATTCTTACGAGCCTCTAGAACAACCTTGTCCAACCTGAGGCCCACGGGCCACACATGGCCCAGGATGGCTTTGAATGCAGCCCAACACAAATTTCGTAAACTTTCTTTAAACACTATGAGATTTTTACTTTTTTCCACTCATCAGTTATCATTAGTGTTAGTGTATTTTATGTGTGACCCAAGACAATTCTTGTTCTTCCAATGTGGCCCAGGGAAGCCAAAAGACTGGACACCCTTGCCTTAGAGGGTCACAACATTTTTGTCAGCTTATCAACACATACTTTGGTTTTATGTGTTTCTGTTGACAGACATCTTATTTAATATGTATTACTGATTCATTAACATTGAACTCATGGCCAAAAGCACTGACTTATGCCTGAACAAAGCTTAACTAACACATGTATCTTTGTAAGGCACATCACAGCCTTGCACTTAGGAACACTAGACAGGACTTTAGAACTACATTCAGGGGCCATTTAAAATAAAACAGTGTAATCACCAAGAAAACAAAAAAAATTGAGAAAAATGTGGCACTAAATAGACTGCAAAGGCCGGGCGTGGTGGCTCATGCCTGTCGTCCTAGCACTTTAGGAGGTTGATGTCAGGAGTTTGAGACCAGCCTGGCCAACATGTGAAACCTCGTCTCAGCTAAAAAATACAAAAATTAGTGTGGTGGTGGGCGCCTGTAATCCCAGCTACTAGGGAGGCTGAGGCAGGAGAATCACTTGAAGCCGGGAGACGAAGGTTGCAGTGAGCCAAGATCGACAAGATCTGGGAGACAGAGCGACATTCTGTCTCAAAAATAAAAAATAAATGAATAATAAAATAAATAGACTGCAAAAGGGGCATTTGTTTACAGTATAAAAGCTTAAACAAGAAGGCATAGCGCCACCTTATTTCTATCTCAGCTGAAAACGGGCACATGAGGGGACTGGCAACTGTGTGTGTCTGAGAACGACCACGAAAGCAGAAGTATTGATTTTGGGGTTACAAATAAATTTCAGCGAGTAGATGAACTGGCAAATATGGAATCTGAAAATAATGAGGATTGACTGTATAAAGAAAGCAAGGTGTTCTTCATAAAGTAAGGCTAACGGTTACTGCT